ACTGTTGAGATTCTATATAGACGTTGGTTCCGTGCTTTATCCGGTGCTGCCAGATGTTGGAAGACTCGAGGACAGTATGGAGCGCCTGTTGCGAGGCCGACAAGCTGCTGGTGGTGTATATCGACCGGATGCTACCGGTCTTGTTAAGCCGTTTGGCATGAGTATATCCTTTCTGAGTCTCCTCTTTGCCGTTCTAGCCTCGGGCTGTCAATTGTCCGACCTACCAGGCAAGGAACGCGAATTGACCTCGTGGGTATATGGTTCGTACAGCCTCCACCTCTCTTCTGTGACATGACTGACCGACTATAGTATCATGTGCTTATCACTGCTTGCGCATGTTAAACTATGTATCTCAGCCGACCGTAGAAATCATTCAAATCTTGCTGGTCATCGGGAGCGTCCTATCCTACAACATGAATGCAGGAGCCTCGTATACATTGCTTGGTGAGTGTTGTTTCTGCCGTGTCAAGTTTTCGATGAAAGCTGATTGTGGTTTGTAGGAATGACCGAGCGCATGTGTATGGTGCTGGGTCTGCACGTCGAGACTGCGGGATATTCACGGGCTGTGCAAGCGGCACGGAGAAGAGTCTGGTAAGGCGTGGATACCAATTTGCGAGAAACAGACAGCAATACTTACACACGAGATTAGGTGGGCGATGGCTTTCCAGAACAGCCATTTTTCCCTGGCGTACGATCGACCCTCGATCACCATGATCAGCCAGCCCGAGATTCCGTACGATCCCAAATCCATGCCCGGCCACCGGGGCTACTTCGAGACGCTGTGCCGCATCATCTCCGTTATTCTCGAGATGTTGCGAAATCTCATGTTCACCCATCATAGCCACCTCAGGTACCATGAAATCCGGGAGTTTAAGCAACGTATTGAACGGATCCTCGCTGAGGCAGCACCACACCTGCGATTTGAAGAACGCTGTACCACTCTGGCGGAGCATATTGAACGGACCGAGCTGCGACTGCATTCCTCGTATTTCATATCATTCATGTGCCGAGTATCACTGGATCCGGATGCACACATGGATGAGCAGCGGCGCGAAATCATCAAGGAGGATTGCTTGACCAATCTGAGCAACACGATCCAGGCATTCATTGAATTGCATTCGATCAACGCACATGCGTCCCGCACATGGATTAGCCTGCAACGGACGATCGCATCAGCTTTCCTCTTGGTAGCCAACAATAATGAGCGATTGCACCCGCACACGTGGGATCTGATTCAGAGACTGGAGGCGGCTTTGTCGGACCATGTGCACGGCGATGGCGAAGCTGATCGAAACAATCGTACCGATTCGGCCAAACATCTCGCCTCATCGCTCCGTGCCCTGCGCGAAGTCAGTGCCGCGTTCCGTGCGCACAGCAAGAAGCAGAAGATGCTATCGGTCCCGGAGACTGCAACGACCACACCGAACCTGTCTCCTGCCACAGTCTTCACTTCCCCGTCGCCGGCAGGGCTTGCCTCGGTAGCTGTTCCTGTCCCCCCGACCTATAGCGCGCCGTCCCAAGAGGGACATATTGACAATATTCTCAATCGGGTCTCGGATGTAATGCTTTTCCCCAACATGAGTACGGGGAACGCTTGAAATAAATGGGCTACTACGCGAGATTCACGAGAATCTTCATTAACCTGCAGCCGAATTCCCCAGTCGCGGGGCCATTGATTCTGATTTGTCCCTTTTGGACGATCCCGTAAGTGGACGCTCCCACCGTGGGAGAGCGACCGGTATGCCTGAAAGTCAACCGATCCCGATCATAATCGATCGGTCACAGAAGCAAGATTGCTCTGTGTCCATGGCGTCACTTTCCCCTGCTGTCTCAGGGCTCGAATCCCTGGTGAGCATGGGCAGTGGAGATGGCGTGTGTCTTCCATTCTGGCTGGAACCTGGGTATTGCCTCGGAGAGGGTCCGCCACTTGCGAGTAGTTAGAGGGGCCGAGGAGGAAAGCAGGAGGGAGGTGAAAGCCGGACATCGGCGGGTACTTGTAGTAATTTGAAGATAGCCAGCCCCCAGTCACGAGTATTTCCGGGAAGGCGTCCGTGTGTCTAGTGCAGTGCAGTGGTTCCTTGCCCCCTCCCACTTGGGTTCGTGCCGGCCTCCTGGACATTTGCATTGTGTTGTTTGTTGGTCTACCATTTTCCCAGTTTCCTTTTTCCTTTTTCCTTTTCCCCTGTCCTTTGTTTCAAGTACGGATCCGGGATTAGGCAGGCAGTGTCTGACCGGCCGAGTATTAACCGCTTCGGCCGAACTCAAGAGATCAGAAAGAAGCTGGAAGGGATCGCCCGATGTCCTATTCCGACAAAAAGGAATGAACGACCGCAACCTTTGGAAAAAGCTGTAGGAGCTGTTGATGGTTCGTGTGCTGCATGAAGAGAGCATGATGCCGCCCTTTCTTCCCCTTTTCTCCTCCCAACCCCCCATGCCATTTTGTCGAAGGCGGGGGTCCATTTTATTCTTATTCTGCAAATAATCATGACAATCATTGCGACGATCAGGTTCAATCAGTTAGGCCGGTGCCACGGCGGCGACGGGTTTAGGGTCTGCAAGAGGCGAACCGGCCGGGACTGAGGCATTTTCGCTTGTAACTACTGTACAGCACCACCTAGTGGACACAGCATGTCACAACAAAGATGACGATGGTGGTCATGAGTATGCGTATGAGTACGGAGTCCTTGGTAGGAGATGATGTGTACAGTACAAACCAAGCGAGATGAGAAAAAGGGCTAGAGTCGCCTTCGTTCTTCATAATTGTTATTCATCATAACCTGCGGAGCCATTCCCTCCTGTCTTCCACGTGCTCCAACCCATCCCATACGGTACGCACACCCATTTTTTGGGGGGGGGGGGGGGTTTGAATGATGACTCCCATCCATTCCTACCGGCCGAAGCGGCCCCCTCGGAGACATCCGGCGATAACTAAAGTGGTTTACCTCCGACCGAAGAGAAACTTTGTTTGTTAGATTAACGGTCCAACGGCGCTCATCCTCTCCATTCCTCTGTCGTGGGTGTAACTATAGTCCATTCTTGTTGCACGGAGGTGGTACGGTGATTATCTCCGCGGGGTCGAGTTTTCTTTTTTCTATACTGAGTACACAGTACTGTTAGGTAAGAGAGGGGGAAAGGGTGAAGGCACACACTCGGCGATAAGTTGTCTCTCTGGCAATTACGGTAGGTGTTTTTCGGATCCGAGGTGTCTGGCTGTCTGGCTGTCTGGCCTGATCCGATTGATTGATTGATTGATTGATTGATTGATTGGAACCTGGATTTCCAAACCCATAGGATCGATTATCCTGAAGGTTTATTGGTACTGAGAAGGTCAAGGTGGGATTATTGTGGAATGCCAGCATTTAAACTTTGGGTTTCGGGGGGGTGAGGGCCTGGCCCTTTCGGTGGATGTGTGGACTTTGGGTGGAGTGGAGGGTAGAGCTTGGAACTAGGTGCCTATATATTGAGTAACTTAACGTTACTTATCTATTCTTGGTCTCGGGGTGGTTTCTGCTATACATTTACCGAGTAGAACTGGGGGTGGTGCTGCACTTGCTCTCGAAGTTGGACTATCTTGCGAGAGAGCAGCGCAACAGGTTTTTTTTTTTTTTTTTTTTTTTTTTTTTTGAATCTTTGATAGTGATTCCGGACATCAACGAATAAAGTCTAAGCCGACATGACATTTTGCTGTACTATACTTCCGGGTTTAGAGGCTCCTCTCCCCCTTCTTTCGAGAGGCTCCCAGATCCCGGATGAGGATTTATGAGTATACTGTCTCTGTAAGTAGGTAGGGACACGCATCGACTGGATGGATGTTTCTGTCTTTACCTTTGGCACAAACTACCGGTACATGAAACTGCCAATAATCCGTTGATTGATGAATGGAAGAGACAAGCAGATCATGCCATTGTTGTTCATCTCTTGAGATTTCTTGAGCATTAATTAGAGTTGGGAAGTGACGGTAAGGCTGGATTGGATAATAAGGCAGCATGTGGCATGTTCTTGGATTGTGGCTGCTGTAGGTGCCAGGGACTATGGTACCTAGTCGTCAAGGGTTGATACCTTATCGATTTTACTGTAAGTGACCCCATTTAATCGAAGGTAGTTTTAACGCACGATGGCCGTTGTGGTGCGGCGCTCGTTGCGGTTGCGGTTGTGGTTGGCGGTTTGTGGTTGCGGGTGGTTTGGGTCCGGCTCGGAACTGTTTACCTTGTTTTACCTTGCTTTTCTTCAACTTTTTGCCTTGCACAGAGAGAACTTTAAGGAAACTGCTGATGGCGCTCGTCTCGAGGGTACCACTCTTCATCATGAGTCTCTGTGTATGGCTTCCCCGTGCTACCGTCCACCTAGTTGTTTGGTTCATACTAAACATATGATATGCAGAAGCTAAACGCAGTGGGGTGGGTATATTCTCTGACGTAGGGAAATCGGTAGTACGGCAACCAACTTCGCCGTTCTCCAGAACGAACGCATAAAGAAGCCAAGAGACCAACCAAGCCCTTACTCAAACAATCAACGGTTAGTCAAGGGGTATCAAGAGCAAGCCCCAAACAGGCTAGAAGGCCTGGATGGCTGATAAATCAAGAACCTCTCGAAAACTGGGGTAAAAGCGCCGAGCAACCCAAGAAGAAACACCGTATGATCCTCCGCCTCCTCCACCGTACACGTCTCTCGTATACTACGAGCCCGGTACTTCGGCCGAAGGGTTCAACCTTCGGATGCGTCAACGGTCGTGCTCGGATGCGAAAGGACAGTGAGGAGATGGGTTTCTCTCGGATGCGAAGGGGTTCAACCTTTCGACTCTTTCTCGAACGAAAGCATACGCATGGATGGTGGTGATTTGCTGGACGATGAGATCCGGCTCTATGCTGTGATGGGCTTCGGATATACTCTGTCTCTGGTGGTGGGAGGTTGAACCCCTTTGTTTCTCTTCGGCGCCGGGGGGTGAAGAGTATGACGTAGTGGGAGGGAGAAGGGGTGGTTGGTGTTTTCTTGGTGTTGTGTAGATGGAGGTAGGGTGGGAAAGGGATTATCCTTTGCTTTAGAGTATCGAGTCTTCAAAGTATCGAGTCAGGAGTGGGAGGGTTAACACTTGGAAGGTGTGTATGGGATGGCTGTGTTGAGATCTGGTGTGAAGTAGACTCGGTTAAGTTGATCCCTATTCTGGATGAAACTCAAGAGGTATTGAACCTGTGACAATTACTTCGAGAATTCTTTATTGCCTCGCTCTGAGGCATACTATGAACTGGCTGTGTGTGTATAGGCAGTTGTTTACTACCTTGTGAACGCGCCAGGATACTTGAGCTTCGAGAAGAAATGCAGGCAAGCGGCTCGCTCAGCGAAATGCTGGTCTGCTCTTTACACGTGATGTCGTGCTGCCTACCTTCTGCGGATGCTGCTGATCACTGGCAGGTACTCAGATATCTATGCCTTACTCTGCTGTCTGGTCGACTGGATTTCGATGGAACTGCTCATTTTTCTTCGAGTCACATACTCCAAGCTGAGATGATTTATTGCGCATATGACGCAAGATCTAGAGGAAATCGAAGCTCTCGTTGGCATGGTTAACAATTAACTGTCTCTTATCCAGTACAGAATACCTACCTACCTTGCCCACCTACAATGACAAGACGGTGACACCTTCATATCCAAACAGCAATCATAATGGAAGACGGTTATTGACATCAAGAGGCTGTGCACGGCCCGGAAGAATGAGCTTCTGAGCCAGATACACGATCTTTGTCCAAAGCGTCCAAGCGAAGTCGACGGCTTTCAAGAGAATGTAGGAGTGTGAGACCTCGGTATCGGCGAGAATGAAATCAACCCTGGAGTCTGAGGTGAGACGCTAGAGTTGCCTGCCTTGATGTTAGAGGTAGTATACACTTGCTAACATGGAAGCTCGAGTCGCACAGAGGTGTCTCAGCCCGAGACATGCCCTTTGCTGTTGGATATGTTGAATACCTTCAACTATTCACAAGCGATCTTCAAATAAATTGGTCAGCCTAAACACAACGCTGCGTGAGAGTCTTGAATGTTTTGACCAATTCCAACAAGGAGGATGGCTGCCTGAGGGTGCAAAGTGTGGAATACCCGCGAGAGTCACCTGCCTGCTCGCTTACTGCCGTTCTCTACCACCTTGAACTTCAATCCATTCTCCTTGTCACACCTCATGACGCTTTCGGAGGACTTATTGTTGCACTCAGCGCGCGATGTCTTGGGTTCAGCTCGGCCCTCACACTTCTTGTTTCCCGCTTTCATAAAGGTCGCTTGAGCTGCCTAGGTTGGTTGTCGCTTATAGGCTGAAGATAACAACCCCTCATCCCTGCTTTCCAGATTCACAGAAGATAAACTTCAATCTGTCACTTCGCTTAAATCTCTACCATGGTGAGCAGCCACTCTGTGAGACATTCCGAGATGTTTCCGAGGCGATTTCTTTTGCTGCTAACGCATGGTGCTAAGTATAGGTACTTGTCGATGCTACGGCTACAGCAAGCATCAGAAGAGAAGATGAACGGCCTAGTTGGAAGGCCCAGCAATCACAGTCTGTGTCGAAAACTGGCCTATTATGCAAGTCCAACATAGCCTAGCGAGATGCTGTCGGGAGAGGTCTATTATTATTCTTTATAAACAAGCCCCACGCTGTTGAACGATTACATCTCGATACTTCTTACATCGATGCCATGACTCAATACTTCGATTGCTTTGCAGCACAGATATGTCCTGATACATTTGTGACCTTTTAATTATCCTTGCATCTGTCCAGGGACTATCTACCCCGCAGAGTCTATCAACGCGGGACGCGATAAACCCCATTCTTGACTGCTGACTCGGATTCGCTGGAGATAATCGCAACAGTTCCGATCTCATCTTCATATCCAGGGCACGGTTACGCCAAGTCTCTGCCAGGCCCAACCACATGGGGTCATATCACTACGGGTTGAATGTATGGTTTCTTGGATCTATGCTAGATCTTTATAGTATCCAGTGATAGCATAAGCAGCACTTTCACCACTGCCTGTACCTTCTGATTCAGGCAGGTCCAACAGCAGGCTGACGCGATATATCCGACGGGTTTGTGATCCCAACAATCGGAGAGTGGTGAGAATGGCCAACAATACTCTCCGATATCAGCTAAGATAATACTCCCTCTTATGGTGGGATTGCAGCCTAGCTAGTTCCGAGCAGGGCGAAGGCGACAGGTATAAAGCCTTGATGCTGGCATAGCATCTCGTCTCACAACAGTCAGTGCTTTCTGCATCGTTGTACATCATGAGGCTAACGATTTCCGCGGCAGCATTGCCTTCATTGCTCCTTCTACCATGTCTCATAGGAGATGCTCTAGCTCACCCGAGACCAGACCCCAAGACGGCGTGGGTGCGTCAAGGTCGGGGAAGGAAGAGTTCCCCGCGTAACCTGCAAGTCCGTTCGTCTATGTCCTCATCCTCTTGCGTCGATAAGATTGCCACTGTGATCAGAGCGCCGAAGCATAATGTTTGGGAAGGGTTGACGGACGATGAGACAGCATTCGTTGTCAAGTGGCTCTTCCAGCAGACAGATTTGAACCTGACTGTCACGGAGGATGCCGGGGAGTGGGACAACACGATGTAAGCCCTCTTTTTCTGGGCATTGTTCGATCGCTAACAGCACCAGCACCCTCGTCGAGCTGATGCGGCCCAACAAGACGGATGTCTTGAGCTATCTCGATCACCAAGGCCCAGCACCTAGCCGTTATGCGCATGTTGTCCTTGACAACCGCGCCACGACTGACCCTCATTATGCTGATATTCTGGTGGGGCCTCTACCCATCACTAATCAATCGACCCCTACGTGGGAGCCACTAGAGTATCCTTACACGCGCAAGACTCACGGTCGTGTGCGCAATCTCGACGCTGACTACAGTACCATCTACTCTGAGTGGCTGTATAAGATTAGCGCATCTATTGCAGATATCACCCTAGACCTGTTCAATGGGACTGCACTGGGCTTGGATAATGACACTCTTGACATATGGGGGATTGACCCCCTCTGGCAGGATGACAGCCGGATCATCCGCTGGGACACATTCTGGAACATGCCAACGTATGAGTTCGACACCGGCAGCATCCTACCGCTGGGACTATTCTTCAAGTCCGACGTGACTGGGCGCGACCCTTCGCAGTGGAAGCTTGAAGGCTGGCTTTACAATGACGTCTTCTACGAAACAACAGAGGAATTCCGTAATGCATTCTTCTCACCCGGATTCGTCAAACTGAAACCCAACGTCGAAGGACCATGGGCACAAACAGACCAACGCGGCCCCGTACTTCCGCAAGATAAGCAGCAACCTCCTCTCATGGTAGCGCCGTCAGGAGCACGGTACTCTGTGGATCTTGACCGCAAATACGTGACATGGATGGACTTCTCGTTTTATATCAGCTTCTCTCGTGATACGGGCGTGTCAGTGTTTGATATCCGCTACAAAGGTCAGCGCGTGCTGTACGAGTTGGGCCTACAGGAGGCACTCGCCCACTATGCTGGCAACGACCCCATACAATCCAGCGTCGCGTATCTGGACTCATACTACGGCTTTGGACCGTATGCCTTTGAGCTAGTCAAAGGCTACGACTGCCCGGTCTATGCAACCTACCTCAACAGCTCCTTTTACGTCTCTGAAACAACGCACACGCACATTGACAGTCTTTGTGTGTTTGAGTACGATGCAGACTATCCTATCCAGCGCCACAGCACGTCCGACTACGTGAGCAGTACGAAGAACGTATACCTCACCCTCCGGTCCGTGTCCACTATTGGCAACTATGACTATATGACCAGGTGAGTCAAGCCCAAAACACGCATGCATCACTTCCATTAATCATACCTCCAGCTACACCTTCCACATGGATGGCACAATTGGCGTCGAAGTCCGCGCCTCCGGCTACATTCAAGCCGCCTACTACGCGCACAACGAGGACTTCGGCTACCGCATCCACGATGCATTGTCCGGCAGCATGCACGACCACGTTCTCAACTTCAAGGCCGACTTCGACATCCTCGGCATCAACAACAGCATCGAGCTCACCACGGTCGCCCCGGTCACCCGCAACTTCACCTGGTCCGGCGGCCGCTCGCGCAACACCATGGCCCTGGAGCGATCGATTCTAACGTCTGAAAACGAAGGCCGCTTCAACTGGGGTCCGAACGGGGCGACGATGATCCACGTCATCAACCAGGAGGCCCGCAACCAGTACGGCGAGTACCGGGGCTACCGCGTGCTGCCGGCGGCCGGGACGGCGCACCTGACGGTCCAGGACTCCAGCAATCTGGCGCACGCGGCGCACTGGGCCGAGTACGACATCCAGGTCACGCAGCAGCACGACCACGAGCCGCGCGCCGCGCATCCCTACAACAGCCAGGACATCTACGACCCGCCCGTCAACTTCGCCGAGTTCTTCGACGGCGAGTCGCTCCACCAGACCGATCTGGTCGTGTGGCTGAACCTGGGGATGCACCACGTCCCGCACACGGGCGACCTGCCGAACACGGTGTTCACGACGGCGCACTCCGGGGTGCAGTTCACGCCGCTGAACTACCTGCTGGGGGATCCGAGCCGGCAGACGGTGAACATGGTGCGGGTCAACTATGCGAATGGGTCGGCGACGGAGGTGAAGACGTTCGGGCAGGCGGAGGAGGTCTGTGCGGTGCAGCTGACCGGGATCGAGGAGGAGCTGTGGCGGTATCAGGGGGATGTGGTGGTGCGCAAATTCCCGTATGACCCGAATGATCCGTACTATGAGATGGAGGCGGATGCATGAGCATATGTCGATACTTTTGGATGGGAGTAGAGTCACATGCGGGCGGTTATGCCTGTTAAACACGGAGCTCACCAATCCACCCCTACCTCCCATCAAACCATCGAATAGACTCGCTTGTCGCGGTCAGATTATGTTCATGCTATCAGAACAATTGGTTCATGGGAGAATTGCCGAGGTACATGAAATCCACGGACCCAAGTCCAAATCCCCATACCCATGGTCGAATTACAAAGGAAGACCGAAGCACGGAGTACAGTACATAGGCCGATGTCATGGTGTGATGTACCGCTCAGGTGCGGGGAAATCACCAGCATGAATCTTCTGGGGTATTTCCCGAAGCGAGATCTGTTTCTATTTCCGGCAACCGGTCTTGATCCGCGGTCCCTTCGTCCCAATGATTTCAATTAGGAGGGGAAATCCATGGGTTTCCTGATGCTTCACACTAGAATCTTGAACTGTAACATGTTCACTGCTCAGACAGGAATAGCCAAGCTCTAATTAACCACACCGGATTCATCCAAGAGGTGGGGAAAGCCCCTCACGCCCACCAACAGCACAGTACAGTACAGTCCTTTAACCCTCCACTAGCCGCGGGAATTTCCACTCCTCTTTTTATCTCGGAGACGGTGGAAGGCTAGTTTGTAAGCTGATGTAACCTTCTCGAACTTGATTCGATCGATTAGCCACATAGCAGTCAAATAATATCCAGTGCATTACAGTACTGTACAACACCCTAGCTAATGCCAGTTGCGGGGTCTCTCTCTCTCTCTCAGAGTCCCAATTTAGCTGATGTGACAGACAGGACAGGACAGGACAGGGATACTGTGCACCCCAGCCAGTCAGAATCCCAAGCCTGTTAAGATCGCCACGGCAAGAAAAGAGGGGGTTGCTGCATAATTGCTTTTGCTTGTCCTTCCTTCTCCGAACGTTTAGGGCTGGAAGGGGGTGAGGAGAGGGGGGTATATAAGCTTACAGCTGAGCTTCCCGCGGAGCTTCACTATCTGCCCACACACACTGTACAGTATAGTACAATAGAGTACAGCACATACCGAGTTGCTGGCTGCACTGAACCACCCTCTACCCCTCAAATCCCCAAGATCACAGCCCAGCCCTACCCAGACAAAATGCCCCAAGACCCCCAAGACCCACCCCAAACCCACGACCTCGACGCCCTCGTCGTCGGCACCGGCTTCGCCGGTATCTACGCCCTGCACACCCTGACCCAAGACGGGCTGCGTGTGCAGGCGATCGACCAGGCCCGCGACGTGGGCGGCACCTGGTACTGGAACCGGTACCCGGGGGCGCTCAGCGACACCTGGAGCTATCTGTATCGGTACAGCTTCGACGCCGAGCTGCTGCGCGACTACCCGGCGGCCAACCGGTACTCGACGCAGCCGGAGATCCTGGAGTACTTGAAGCATGTGGTGGCGCGGTACGATCTGCGGCGGCACATGCGGTTCGAGACGGTGATGGAGGGGGCGGCGTGGGATGATACGATCAAAAAGTGGCGGGTGCGGTGTCGGGACATTTCCAAGACGGACGAGGGCAAGGGAGAAGTGCAGTACACGTACACGGTCCGGTACCTGGTGACGGCGCTGGGGCTGCTGCACGAGCCGGTCATCCCGGACATCCCGGGCCTGAAGGAGGGCGTGTTCCAGGGCGAGGTGGTGCACACGGCGGCCTGGGACCCTCAGACGTCGCTCGCGGGGAAACGCGTGGGTGTGATCGGGGTCGGCTCGTCCGGGGTGCAGGTCGTGACGGCGATCGCCAGCCAGGTCGCATCCCTGCACGTCTTCATCCGCCGGCCGCAGTACAGCGTGCCGGCCAACGACCGGCCGCTGACGCCCCCGGAGCGCGCCGCCATCAACGCGGCGTACCCGGCGCTGTGGGCGGACGTGCGCGCCTCGCACCTGGGGATGGGGTTCCCGGAATCGTCCCGCAAGTTCATGGCCGTGAGCCCGGCGGACCGCGAGCGGATCCTCGAGACCCTGTGGCGCGAGGGCAACGGGCTGCAGTTGATGTTCGGCGGGTTCAGCGACCTGACCACGGACGCGGCGGCCAACGCGGAGGTGTGCCGGTTCCTGCGCCGCAAGATCGCCGCCGTCGTCACGGACCCGCGCAAGGCCCGGGTGCTGACCCCCACGGAGCCGTACGCGCGCCGCCCGCTCAGCGACGCCGGCTACTACGCGCAGTTCAACCGGGCCCACGTGCACGCGGTGGACGTGCGGGCGCACCCGATCACCGCGGTCGAGGCGCACGGCCTCCGCACGGCCGACGGGACGCTCTACGAGCTGGACACCCTCGTCGTGGCGACCGGGTTCGATGCCCTGGACGGCAGCTACGCGCGCGTGCACATCCGGGGCCGCGACGACGACGCCGACGATCTCCACGAGCGCTGGCGCCGCACCGGGTCCGCGTGCTATCTCGGCTGCGCCGTGTCCGGGTTCCCGAATTTGCTGCTGGTGTCCGGCCCCATGGCCGCGTTCGCCAACGTGCCGCCGCTCACCGAGACGAACGTCGAGTTCCTGCGCGACTTGATCCGCCGCGCCGAGGCCATCACGCGCCGCACCGGCACCCAGTGCGAGATCGAGGCCACGCAGGCCGCCGAGCGGGCCTGGACCGAGCATTGCGATGTCACCGCGCGCAAGACCCTCTTCGCCCAGGCCCCCTCCTGGATGTTCGGCGCCAATGTCCCCGGGAAGCGCCCCGCCAGTCGGCTGTATTTCGGCGGGCTGGGCCCGTTTCGCGCCAAGTTGGCGGAGGTCAAGGCGTGCGGGTGGGTCGGGTTTAAGGAGCCGTTGGGGACGGCGGGGGTGTTGCGTTCGCATTCGCATCTTTAGTGATGGGGGGGGGGGGGATCGGAACGAGCATCACCAGCACTCACACACAAGCCTTCACTCTGCATCTTATCTCCATCATCGCCCTCGTGAACCGTACCCGCGATACACCCGACATTACGGGCTGCGGTGGACCGTTGTGGAGAAGGTAGTCTTCATGGAGAGAATGGCAGGGAGTGAGCTGCCAGTGGCGGTTTACCTTGCGCCTTGAGTGTTATGGTTGTGTCGCGGTGGGGATTCTGTAGCGTTAGTAGAGCAGGTGGTCATTGTGGTGCTGCTCAGGACTTTCCACAAGATAGCATTGAGACTTAATCGCATTCAATACGGCCAGAGAATTTGACGAAGAGTGGTGATTGTGATTGTGATTAATGATTCTAGAATATCTAGATATAGTATCATGGATATCATCCCTGCCCGCGGGGCTACCCACTGGGTCCCGAGGCTCTCATAACCATTGCAGTACATGCTATCTATCGATGCATCAGGTCTGCGCTTGGAAGTAGCTGTAAATGCTGTGAATGCACGGGCGGTGTATGGAAATACAGAATTAAAAAAAAAAAAACATCGGTGTGAATCTCTGATCTGAGTATCTTGTGCTCGTCGACATAGCGTCTTGAGATCCTTGTTTGCTGGATGGATGCAGAATCGGTTCACGGTCTTGTGTCACTGTTTTGTGTAGCCGTATCCTTGGTGATGTCAGAGTCATATTTCAAGGCGGGTTGCACAGTCATCATTGTGCAGTCACGCTGATCGCAAGTCTAACTGCGCTTCGAACCGGTTGGATCCTCATAAACAATCCGCGGAACCACATTGAAGTCCGGCAATCCCGGGACAACCTCCGGCTCATCGGCCTCGTCCTCCTCCTCCTTAGTATCAGCAGGCACCGAGCTATCGCTGGACTCGGTCAATTCGAGGGCCGGCGAGGGCGTCCCGCTGGCCTCGTCTTCCACGTGAACCACCGTCGGTTCGTCGTCCGATCCACTACCATCCACAGAATTCTCCAGACTTCCAGAACTCGGGCTCGGGGTCGCCGCCGCCACCAATCCGTCCAGCGACAGCGACTCATCGTGACTGACGCTGCTCCGCTCCGAGGTCGACAGCGAGCTGCGCGAGTTCGTGTACGACTGGGGCAGCCCCAGCGCGGCCGCCACCGCCGCCTCCTCGTCGGGCAGCTTCGACACACTGCTGTCGCGGCTGGTGCTGCGGTCGAAGATATGGCTCCCGCGCCGCTCGCTCATCTCCAGGATGTTGTTGTACCCGCGGCGGGTGGGGTCGGCCAGACGCTTCTTCTTCTTCTTCTCGCGCTTCGTGGTCGGCCGCACCACGATCACGGGGATCGGCGACTGCTGCAAGCAGTACTTGGAAACCGAGCCCGGCAGCAACCCCTGCACACCCCCCAGATTGCGACCCCGGGTGCCCACGATGAGCACAGCCGGCTCGTAGATCCGGATCATGCGCTGGATGATCTCCTGGACCTTGCCCACCGCCAGCTCCAGCACCAGGCTGATGGCCTTCTCGTTCTGGCTGTTCTTCTGGATCACCTGCTCGAACAGCTTCTCCGCCTCCTTCCGGTATTTCCCTGCTTCCACGGCGGCGTCGCTGGCGATGCTCGAGTCCTTCTCGACCGCACGCAGGCAGACGATCTCATCGCCGTCGTCGACGAGCTCGTCGATGAGCCATTCCAGCGCGAAGTCGGAATAATCGTTCTGATCGGTCCCGCATAGGAAGGTTCGACTGCGACGGGTGGACTGATAGCCTTTGTGTTTGTAGTTGAGGGTCAAGGAGAAGTCGGCCGCATCCGGGTTGTCGAAGGTGTCGAACGACACACCTCGCTCGTAGGTTCTGAATTTACATTAGTCAACAAAGATAATCTAGGCACGTATCATGAAGAATGTCTTACTGGGGTGGTGGAGGAGACGGTCCACGACTGGGCGACGGCTTGATCTCCCGTTCGGTGGAGGTGACGTCGAGCTGCGGGCGCGGTCGGTGACCTGCAGCGCTGACGGATCGACGATGCGGCAGCGGCTCCGTGCCGCCAACGTTGAACTGAATTGACTTTCTCTGGGAACTCTCAGCTCGATGTGAGGATCGAGGCTTGCTTGTACCAGCGGCTTGGCTGGCGCCGCCCTCGGGGGATTGCGACGACGGGGAGGGCATGCTGGCGGTTCGAGTGGGAGCGGAAAGCGAAGGGAAGGTGGCAGACGACTCAGGCGCCTTCTGGTGGTCGGGATTTCGAGTGAATAACAAAAAAGGGACGAGATGATTCAAAGTTAACAACCAGTCGGTCGCTCAGCCACCGTGAAGCTCAGCAAGTTCGGCGAGTGGTACGATGCGGGAGACGCCGACCATGGTTTGGTAAGAGAGGTCGTGATGCAGGGGAAACTCCCGAGCAAGTGTCTGAGACCGGCACGCTCGAGGATGAGAGAATGAGATGGACCAAAGCGGGTCTCGGAGCTGGCTAGCTTGAAGCTACAGTGAATGACTTTGCACAATAGCGCCGGATTGAATTAAAGTAGAGTGACAGGCAGCAAGCCGGAAGCAGCTGGAGGGGGAAGGAGACGAAAGGCGAAAGAGAGTGGAATAGGAGGAGGCCGGGCGGCGGCATGATGGTCAGGGCGGGGCAGATGGAAGGCGGTCAGGAGGAGGAGGAGCATTGCCGGCGGGTCACGTTTCCCTGCTGTCACTGAGTGACCACATGCGGAACAAAACTCCTGCCACGCGGAGGCTTCAACTTTGCATCTAGCGATTCCCCCATTATCGTCCACTGACAGACAGCCATTACAATCCCGTGATCCTCTGGCCTGACCACAATGGTCATCTTATCTCGCTCTATATGACCAAAAGAGCAAAAGAGCCGGAATGGAGAAGTAGGAGGGGCATAGCTAGCACCATCCGAGCCAGCCCAAGTATATATTTTCCGAGCTATGTAAGCGCAACCAGCAGACCCTCAGCTTGGCCAGCCGGTCTGGAACACATAGTGCCAGACTGCCAGCGGAGACCACAGCGCGCCATTGCGGCCTGAATCCAGACTCAGTATGTTTTGGCAGGTTTTTTTTTTTTTTTTTTTTTTTTTTTCTGGTCGGATTTTTTTTTCTCGCTCCTTTTTTATTTTTTTTTTTATCATTCTTTGGTTTGCTTTTGAAAAATGTTTGTTATTTTTTGGGTTTTTTTTTTTTTTTTTTTTTTTTTAAACAAAAGAACAACTCGAACGAGGGTCTAGATGGGGCAGAAGAGTCTCCAGCTCAACCAACTCTAATAGTGCCAATGGCAGCAAAACCGGATCTAAAGACGGTGAGGGATTACTCGGTTTTGACTTGATCCATCGATCGTTTTCTTCTAGCAAAAGCAAGGAAGGAGATCAATCAGATTCCGGATTCCAGGAACCCAGACCAGGCGGGTTGACAGGGACAGGCGGAAGACGGAAGACGGAATCGAGTAGGTTCAATTCAGTCAGGGAAAAAGAACCAAGAGCGATCGGCGGTGATCCTCCGTGCGGATCGATCGCCCTTCAGCCATGTGATCCGTCACGGGGCGGTGAACTCGGCCTGGATTGGCAAAGGGCCGCGATCGGCACTGCCATCCCGGTCTAGCCAGCTGCCCAACTAGCCTCCCGGATGGGGCTAAGAAGCGGAGTCAAGTCTTTTCTGCTCCTGCGACTAGCAGTTTAGTATGTCCTAAGGAAGTTACTGATCACTTCGTTATCGTTTGCCAATGCTTGACACATCAAAGCAATGATTACAGGCAAAGGATCAGTTGAAAATTTTTAGGAATTCATGTATAATGTGGATATGATTATGTTCTATATATGCAAATTCATCATCTCGTCTCAGATGCCTGAGAGGCCACCGTTATAGTAGGTCATGTCGTGGAATACATAAACAATCAGAAAAATGGGGCCGACAATATATGCGGCCCAACGGTGGGACCAGGAAGAAGACAGAGATGGGACCCGAATATATGGGCGGGTATGAGAAGAGAGAAATCAATGCCCAAACGCTCGGGCATGCAAACAAAAAAAGGGGGACTCCACCCCCAATGCCAATATGCCATCCCAAAACAATGCTGAATCATGATGATAGGAGAGAAGTGATTTTTGGTTTCAGAAAAAAAAAAAAAACGCCGGACCCGCTATGGTGGTGACAACTTGCCCCGAGGTAATAAAAAAAGTTCTTCCAGAAACAATCCACGACGAGGGTATCACGTATGATAATGGTACAGAGAATGGAGGATCAGCCGCTGCTGCAAGGTACGATCAATAAGCTTCGAGCATCGCACTTGGCGCTGGGCCGGGAACGTAGTAGCCATTCTCCAGATCAGTCGGGGAGAGAGGGATTTCCGCGGTTTGCGGCTCCTTCTCGTTGAATGTTTCCAGGGTTGGTTGAGGAGGTGAGGGGGGCATAGTGTCGTCTTCCGACTCTCCATCGGAGTCGGACAGCAGCTCGGGCGGGGTTTGCCGGGAAGGTGAGCGGGTCAGGGTTAATTCTTCTAGATCCTCCTCATCGTCGTATTCAAAGTCGGAATCAGAATCGGAGTCGTAATCCTCCTCGATTTCCTTCTCGGTGATGATGGCCACCGGGGAGGGAGCCCGTCGTCGCACCGGACTGTAGGTAGTGGGCTCATACTGGTCTTCGTCGTAGTCGGAGTCATCCTCGCTGACGTCGGAGTCGGCGTCAGAAAGGTCCTCGGGATCCCAGTCCTCCTCCGGGTCCTCAACGACCGTCTCGGCCCATTGGATGTGTCGAGGCTCGGAGTGATGGGAGGTCTTGGTCACACCGCTGACAGTCTGGTTGAACCAATGTTCTTGTTCACGTTCGGCATCAGCCAGCTCCAGCATGAGCGAGTCGAGGAGGTTGGCGTGGCCAACCAGAAGGCGGAGATCATGGTCCGCCCGGGAAGCTTCACGGGTGAGCTTCTTGCGGGCGGTGTGGGCGAGATAGTAGGTTTGAGTGATGCTCATTTTCTTTTGTTGGCGACGGCGGGCCAGAGAGGTGAAGTAGGAGCTGAGAGAAGGAGTGGAGGAGGGAAGAGAAGAGGAGGAGGAAGGGTGGGAGGAGGGAGTAGAAGTAGAAATTGTGGGGGAAGCAGGAGTTGCCATGGCGCAAATCTCCGGGAGGGCCGTGTTGATGTGCTTGCTAGGGATCGCCGAACTTAGAGGCTTAGAGGTGACTCGTTCGCTTTGCGCGGCGCGGTGACTCAGGCTGCCTTTCCTCCTTCCGGCGGTCGACCTATCGACCAATCAACCTTACGGCGGATGGCGGGGCGGTGAGTCAAGGGTCGCTGGTATCGCTGGTATCGCTGGTATCGCTGCAGGCGGATCAATAATGGATCGCAGCAGCAGCGCCTTATCTTTCAGTCTAGTGCGTTTGCGACTGATGCAGTGTGCAGACGCAGACAGCTGAGAAAAAGACTGATATCTGGGTGTTGTCGAGCTGGTAGGGGTTCCTGGCGTCCCAATGTCTCCACTGACAATCATGCACTTTCAATAGTCAAACAGTAGTGGCCGGCGGGGAAAGATGGTGGATGGATGTGTTGGTGGTGCGTATGTCGTGATGAGAGTGATGTAGTGGCTGGTTGCGGTCTGAGGTGGACAGGCGAGGATTATTAGCTATGTGTTGTGATTGAAGAAAGAAGAGAAGAAAAAGGACATTTCGAGATGTACCAGGGAGATAGGGATTGTTTATGATATATCCACTTTCTAGGCTGATTCTTTTTTTTTTATTTTCGGTGCTTGTCATCCGCTATTTCCAATCCCCGTTTCTTACTTCCTTTTTTTTTCCCTTTTTTTTTTACTCATTACTCTGCTCGTACTCCATCTAAAGTCCGAAAGGCGCGATCGGACGTTCGGCGACAGAGCATCCGTGGATCGGAAACTCCGTCAAGGAAAGCCGGATCCACCATCGAAATTCTGCCCTGCACCCAAAATCCCTGCCCAAGAGGGCAATTGCTATGCTCACCGCCCATAACTGAGACCAATAGTTGCTGTAAACCAGTGAGTCACGTCTGGGCGCCGCCTGCTTATTCCCGTTCTGGGCGATTCAGCAGCTTGGAACTTTGAAAGGAAAAAAACAAAAAAAAAAAAAAAACCTGGATCGGGTTTCCGATGACCAATCTTTCCGCGCCGTTGTCTCCGGCTGAGCAAAAGAGAAAGGAAAGAAAAGGCTCCCAAGCTAGAAAATTCCAGCAGGTGCCCAGCACACCTGCCCTAGCAAGATTACGATTACTCAACGATTGTCTGCATTAGAAATCCTGACTGCAATCACCATCATTATTCATCATCTTCACTCTTTTGGCGTTTTCACGCGCCAAGTGTCAAATCTTAATATTTCCACGGTTGATGATCAGTCCAGGGCACCCATTTTATTAATGCTTTTATACTCTGTACAGTCGATATAGAGACTATACAAGATTTGAGGTACTACCCCCATTTACTTCCCCCCTCACTGCTAATTGACTCTTTGACCTTTTGATTGATAATTGAATTGATTCCTAAGCTCCTACCTAACACGTAGGTTTTCAGTCCCCTAACATCCGAGTAACCAGCCTCACGATAGTTGTTGACCCTAGTTGGGTTCTTGCGGACGGGATCCGTGACCCGTCACAAATCAGTTCCCCACCCGACTCAAAATTTTCTTTCCTGCCGGGCGCAGAGAAGGAATCTGAGGTACGGAGTAGCCTATCCGAAATGCCCCCTTCGATCCCCAATCCCGTTTCGTTTGTCAGCCTCCCAGGGTTCTCACGATGAGTAATCTCTCTCTAACAAAAGCCGAACTGCTATCCAACTCCGTCCATGCCTCTTTCCAGTAACACCCCTGTACCGCACCATTTGGGACATGAATGCGAGAAGGAGTTATGACTGAAAACGGACAGGTAAGCAAGTCCAGTAAGTCTCGCTCGGTCGGGTTTGGGAAGTAGTGAGTTGCTGCTGCTGCCCCTGCGGAGTTCAAACAACAGAGCAGCAGCACAGTACAGCACAACACAGCACAACAATCAATGCAATTCATATGCGAATACGACGGCTTTCCCCCCCCCCCCATCAGGATCCATCGCTTGCCGTAATTCCGCTTCCCACTCTCTCTGCCTGCCTTATTTTGGCCCCTACCCTAATCACATACTATACTCACTCGTATACCCACTATCACTCAACTCGTGTTTGCAGATAATTTAGCAACTATGTGGAGATAAGGGAACTGATTTTTTTTTTCTTTCTTGTCTATCGCTTATTATTCATACGCATCTACAATCCATCCACGTAGGTCATCTCTCACTTCCTTATCATTCGTCACAAGGAGATGTAGAAAGGGCACCCAATGAAATCCTCACCAGCTGCCACATTTCAAAACCCGTCAGTCACGCCTTAATGTCGAGGGCAAAAAAAGGTCTCGAGTCCATCCATCATCGCTTCGGCGTCATCCATCATCCCTCATCCCTTTCTTGGCGTTATGCGGCTCTCTCTCTCCCCCTTCCTGCCTTCATGTGTCTGCCTCTCCGCAAGCGCCAGCCCATGCTATGCTTGGCAGGTCAGATCGCCCGCGAGCGAGAGAGGGGGCACGCCATCGCGCATTTTCGAGGCGAGACAATTGGCTTTGCGAATGCGGAGGTAGACTTCCTGCCCAGAAGGAATAGTGTCGACTAGTGTGTACCGTGGGGAAAGACTATAGAGCTGAGCTGGGGCTGGGGCTGGGGCTGGGTCTGAGCAAGTACAGGTACACTCCGTGGAGTCTCCGTAGTATGTGTACGTACGACGTACTCGCGGTAGGGATTGATCGTCCCTTGGGGGCCACTATCACTGAATATCCCCCTCGACAAACGTGTCGGCCGCTTGGCAACGACTCAAAAGACCTGAAACCTCAGCGGCAGGCAGCGAAAACCCCCCTGATCTCTTGCTTACATGGCTGTGCAGGGTCAGAGTTACCCGAATAACATGTAGCCCGCGCTAAGTGGCTGTCTCGCGTGTAATCTGCTGGGGAGCGGTGGGCTGTAGTAAGTTAGTGGCTATGAGCTGGGGTCTGGGCTGACAACGGAAATCGCCTAATCCGCGACCCGAGCGGGAACTGCTGAGGCTCTCTCGTGAGGATGGTGAGGGTGATGATGACTCGAAAGACCATGTGTTGCTGTGGTTAGGGAATCGAAGCAATAGTCGATAATCTGATGATCTATCGTCTATCTGAAACCTCCCCCTCGCTGCCTGCCCGGCACAGCACAGCCCCTCGAAAGGGAAGCGGAGCAAGTGCGGAGAAAGATAGGCGGACGGAATTCCGGGACTAAGCCTCACCTGGAAATTATGCTCATCGGTCATGTGACCCTGGTGCCCACCATGTCGGCGTGACACTCGGAGATAACAGATCTCCATTAGTTGCGTTGGAGTTTCCCCCACCAAAAAGGCTATCTGTCTGGCGAGAGCAGCCTCGATCAGGGCATCGGGACAAACAATGATGGCCATGATGCCAATGATGGGGTCAATGACGAGGGGGAACTGTAAACAGTCTCCGCCGTGCCGCCCTCCTTCTTCGTCATCAACATTCGCCATCGCCATCGCCATCACACTGCTGGAGCCCACGCATTCCAACGATCATTGATCATCCATGATCATCGCAGCCCACTGTGGCAGAATTGATTCTTCAGACTATACGCAGAGCAAAGAGTCTGGAGCGGGCAGCAACTCCATTCATAGTGGGGAAATGACATGGCGGGGGGGAGGGGGGAAGGGGGGGGGGGCTTGCATAATCCTCATTCATGTCCAACAAAACGAACAGCAACCTCATCTTCTAGCTATCAACCACCCAAAATGACAAATTGTTCTAGACCAGAACGTACGCAAAACCACGGCAGCGCTGGCACCTAGAAGCTGACAAAAACGACGATCGGATCACCAGAACCTTAACTTTCTGATTTGATACCACACATCACCGACCATCGGGAATCCTGAGTAGCTGGGTCCAAGCTGCAAACGTCAATCCATCATCACAGTTTCATCCCTTGGATCCCTCCCCGGGTTTACTGCCTGACATCTTACATTTCCACAGGCAGGCTTATCACCACGCGAAGTGAAGGCAAAACAAACATCCCAATAACAACACTCCACATCAGCAGGAGCAGATTCGCCTCCCAGCAGATGCACTGCAATACGTCGACGATTTCGCGATCGTCACCGATAAGGATAGGCAGCAGCACTCCGTAGACTTTGACTTACGGGTAGTGTAGATAGGACGACACCACTAACATCATCATCGTACCTCGCCTCTCTCAAGGTTGTTGTCCTACCTCATGAACCACGATCAACCTGAAGATCCCGCTCGAATAGTACACAGTAATCACTTTGAGGTTGTACACAAATAACCATATGAGACGGATACGGTTGCTGCTGTGTAAACTGCAAGTCAGTCAGTAAGGCCAGTCCTTGACGTCACGACCTGACCCTTGGCCTCCCTCCCCGGGCTTCTTGACCTCATCGTCGGGATTTACGGGGGATGACCATACAGGGGGTGGGCGATCATGATCCGAGATCCGGAGCTACAGTGAGTTATAGACAGAGGACTTTAGGAAGTCGGTGACTTCATCGCCATTAGCATAGGGTGGATAGATAGATGTACAGTACAATAAGATAGGAGATAGGAACGATAACAAGCGGGTCTAGACGTCAATCACACATCCCCTCTATCAACATCATCATCATCATCATCATCATCATCATCATCATCAACACCACCAACCAACCCCAACAACTAAATCACCGAGTGACTATCCGACAGTCAACTGAACATCCAGCATGACCTCAAAACACCCGGGGAGATCCGCCTGCCCCTTCCGCCTCCCCGCATAGCCTACATTAAAAAAAACATAAAACATAATCACAGCAGCATAGCACAGCACAACTAATGCACACAATCCAAGGCTACCGCGGAACAAACTCGGCTTCTCGCCCTTCCACAACCCCCGATCCTCCGGGCCCCCAAAAACCCAGAAGTGGTCCTCGCTCGGGCCTTACGAGATACGGTACGTACGGTTCCCAAATCCCATAAAGTCCCTTAAGTTCTGGCGCGGCGTGGCTCACGGAACCGCGCGAATCCGTGATGAACCCCCCCGTCCAGCCCAGCCTAGTGAAGTGTTCCCCTCCCCCCCCCACAGTAGGCTACCCGTTGTACCCGTGCGTGCCGGATTCCGGAACATCAGCCCGCCCTTCCAATTCTTCACTTGGGGTCTGCATCTATCTGCATCCATCTATCTGCATCCTGCCCTGCCCACAATTCCCATGTGAGGCTATCACGGATACACGGGTACACGGATCTGATCCCTTTTCTGAGAGGGGTTTTTTTTTTTTTTTTGGCGCTAGCATGTTCGCTTGTTAGCATGTGGAGGTCTCATATACCGAGTACCAACCACACTTACTATAGCATACTGGGGTACTGTCACTACTGACTGTACAGTAGTACCCTGAGGGCGTTTGAGGGGGTTTAATTCTGCCGGTTTTATTCTTGTCAGACTTTAATATCATGTCTCCGAGTTACTTGACTCACTAGGTTATGTATGGGTTATGAGTCACTGCAGGGCCTCATTCAGGACTAGGTACCTAGCGGATGCTTATTCTTTCGTGTCATCCTCTTCGAGTATAGTGGGATTACATGCACACATAAACAAAAGGTATACTCCGATCGGAGTCACAAGCTTCGACAGAGGTGGTGTTTCAGGCCGATTCATCCCGGTTGGAGTTGGGTGAGGATCTCTGGATCGTGACTCTGTTTCGGAGTAGTACTTAACCAGACTATACTATCCCGTGCTATTCTTCATGACTGCGACTTACTCTGCTGGCTAGCTGGCTCTCGAACGTTGGTCTATATATGCTGCTAGCATGATGGGTATTATTTCCAGGAATGTGCTGGGGCAGGGCTTTTGTTTGATCGCTTCTGGGTATAGTCCCCAAGAAGGAATGTGTTGCAGGCTATGCATGTCTTGTGCGATGCATGTATGGAGGGGGCCATTGGTCTAGGTATTACTGGCGGATGGAAGCTTACTCGGTGCCCTGTATGTACAGTACACGCTTTTGCAGACTGACTGGCAGTTGTCGATCCCGGGTCCATGCTCAGTCCGCGCTGATTGGACGGTTGCTTTTGTTCTACAGCATTCTGCCATGATGCATGTGATTGTACTGTACTGTACCTTTCCACTGCTGTTCCCATGTCTACGGAGAGCGGGGTACTTTTTTGTTCTATGCCCCTCCTGTTAATCACAATTCCCAATGTACAGTTACAGTACATACATACAGCACAGCACAATAATGTACCTCCCTCTCCACTCCGCATGAAACACAGAGTCCATGTTCATGTTCAGTTCAGTTCAGTTCAGTTCATATTCACATCCACACAGCAAAAGCAACCATTATCCATCCCAACCAATTCCTGAAGTACTGGCTGAGACTCAATCCCCCCCACCAAACAAGCTCCCCCAATCCGACCCCTTCTTCCGCATCCACCGCATCCACCACCCCAGCGGCTCCGACAACCCCTCATCTTCTGTATCCCCAACCTCACACGGCAACAAAATCGCATGATCCAACGCATGCGGCAGCCCGCGGTGCCGGCCACGCACCTGCATCGCGATGACGATCGCCTTCGCGGGGCCCGAGAACTCCCCGCACAGACTCGTCTCGGTGCCCGGGTAGCCCAACGACAGACCCACCGTGCCGTACGCGGACACGATCTCGAACAGGATCGGGAACAGCGCGAACGCGCGGTCGTCGTCCCCAGCCTGCAGCCGCGGGCCCTCGGCGACGGCGATCAGGAAGAAGCCCAGCATCACGTACCAGAGGTCGAAGCCCAGCTGGCGCTGGATGTGGGCGGCCAGCGAGTCGGTGGAGGGGTGGGTGGGCGGGGCGTCGGAGGACGAGGATAGCGCGTCGTCATTATAAAAAATGCCGAGGCTGCGTTCTTCGTAGACGTTGGTCTTGCGGATGGCGATCGCGTTGGGGAAGGCCGAGATGTACATCATCACCAGGAAAGAAACTTGGGTGGCCGGGTGCAGGGTGGTTAGCGGGGTGATGCTGAAGCCCGCGGTGCGGGTCGAGGCGATTTGGAAGAGGCCGTTGACGAGGCGTAGGCCCGGGGTGATGGTGGGGTTTTGCGGGGTCTATGTTCGTGTTGGTTCGTCAGTTGAGGCTATCAGGGTAAAGGGGCAAGTGGTTGGTGGTGCAGTCCGTACCTCTTGGAGGGTGTAGAAGATGAGCAGGTCGATCGCGTTGAGCAACAGGAGAACGGCCGACAGGCGCCACGTCTCCGCGCTGGGGAACAGCAGCGTGAAGCACCGCCGCGGGTGCTCCAGCAGGTACTCCAGCTCGTCGTCCAGCGGGGACCCGTACGTGGTGGTCTGCGAGAGCGTCCAGATGATGAAGCGGAGCATGCACGGGAAGCCCGTGTTGCCGATGACCACGAGGAAGGTCATTACGAGCAGGGGGAACGCCGCGGTCTGGAACGCGTCCATCGAGTCCGGCGTGAGAGTGAACCCCAGGTCGTTGAAGGCCGACCCGGCCGTGAAGATCGCCCACCACGGCCGACTGATGCCCGCGTCGGCCAGCACCTGGCTGTACTGGCGGTTCGGCAGCACCCACCCCAGGAACAGCACGATCCCCAGCACATGGAACACCACGAAGTAGCAGACGAGGATGACGAACAGCGTCTTCAGCGCCCGGTACTCGATCCCGCCCAGCTCCTCCTTCTGCGCCTCGTCCCAGTCCGCATAGCTGGCGATCGACGACTGCCACATCAGCGCCGGCAGGGCGTCGAGATCCTGGCACGACCGCTGGAGCACGGGCGAGTCATACTCCGACAGCGAGCGCCGCGAGCGCGTCCCGGACATCGACCGGCGGTGGTGGTGTTTGATCGCATATTCGGCCTCCGAGTCGCAAAAGGTGATATGCGGACTGGTTGATCCCGCCGCCGCCGCCGCCGCAGCGCCATACTTCCGACCTGGAAGACCAATTAAGTCGGCGGTTCGATCCTCGCCATCGATAACCTCTAACAGAGGTTGCTCCTCAGCGGGTCTCTCGACCGAGATCCCTCGAGGAGGAGGAAGAGGCAGAGGCGGGGAAGGCCGGTTCTCGATCCCTCTTCCCTGCAGAGCTTGATTCCATTTGTTACGCTGCGTGCGGCATAATACTTTGGCCTCGTGGATGACGCCGCGAAACCGCTTGCGGAACCAATAGAGCCGGATCACGACGAGCAGCGAGTTGATGAAGATGACATTGGTCACCATCGACACCCCCCAGAGGGTGACCTGCTGGACCACATGCAGTCGGTTGAGGTCGATAGAGTTCAGGCCCGTCTGGGTGGCTGCACCGGAGGCGAGAAGCAAGGCATCAAGGTACGACAGCCCTCCAGCCAGGTAGAGAACTAGCGACGACACCAGCGCCCAGAAAATGATATAGATATAGTGGTGGTAGCGTCGCAGGGGTGACTTGGACGGCTCGTGAGCGAGAGGCATGCGGTTTGGGAATGCGCTATAAGCCGATGAAGAATACCCGGAATGTGTCGTCGATGGGAAAGGGAAACAATATGGCGGAGCCCAAAAGAGGTGAAGAAGCTGTTTGTCCTTTCCCAAAAGGCACGGGGAATTAAATAGCTCGACGAAAAAAAAAGAGCTCTTGTCTCCTTGCGTAGATCTGGGGGGAGGGAGTGGCTAGCAAGAGCCAACAAATGCCTCACACAAATGCATGCTGGATTTGGGATGATCGGATCGACTGTGACGATTTCCTACTATAACAGAGAAAGAATATGGCATAAAGGAGCTAGGTAGCTATACCTGCTCCCAATCAAGCTCGGGCCAGTCCCACGCTTTATAGCTGCCTGGTTCTGACATCTCCCGTCGAATTCCTGGGGAAGTGGTTTATCTTCCAAGGGAGGGGGAAAGGGAGCTTGCAGATTTTGCCATTCCGGTGTGAGGTTGCACAGCAGGAAGCTGGGAACATCCAAATCGGTGATCTCCTCTTGCAAAAAATTGGTTGGAAATAATCGCTCATAGTGATTTGAAGCTTGGCACGCAACCACTGACGCACGGTCCATAGTTTGGCTAACTTTAAAACCTTCTTTTCGTTTCTTCTTCAGCGTGAAGAAACCGGATTGGCGTCTCACAATTGGCCGGGAATCATTTCTTGAATTGTAGACAAAACTTGCTTGGGTGCCAGGGCTGGTGTGACTGTTGCAGGAACCAGGGGCCGGATCGGTGAGAAAGTCGGTGGCATATGCGTGTCTGCGCCATTTTCAGACCTGTCAGGTGTTGGTGTGACCAAGGAATTGTTGTGTGGCTTGCAGTCGGACATCAGGCTGTCAGGTTATAAAGTGAAGTTGTAGTTGAGGAGAGCTCCTTCAGTCTTTTGAAGGAAGGGGGGTGCTGTTGCCTGAGGCAGAGATCCATCATCGACAACAGTTAGGTTGATTTCCATCAATGGCAGTGGTTACAAAGTACTGTACAGTACAAGCCTACCCAAACTAAGGTTGATCAGCGACAAAGAGGATTGCAAACACCAACATCATCCAAGACAAAATATGTATTGCTGACCGGGACTAAGGTAAGACACCCTAATCCAGCCGACCTTTTAAAAGATGATAGATAAGAAGATTAAACCACTCTTTCCGTCCAGCCCGTCTCTGAACCCACGATCCTTCCACTGTCGTCGCATCAAATCTAGCAAGACACACCGGAGGGCAAGTTCTCGCACTTGCTGCTGGTCTTGCCACCGGTGACATCAACGCCGCTCCAGGTGAAGTCCGTGCAGCTGCCGTCACCGCAGAGGATGTAGATCTCGGTGGCATCGCTCTCAACGCTACCGGTGACCTTCTCCATCTTGACGCCGGAGATCTTGACGCCGTCGGTGGGGGTACCAGTGGGGCTGCCGTTCTCGTAGTCCTGCTCGATGACGATACCGTAGTCGGTGATGTCGGAGATCTTGATGTTGGAGAAGGTGATGTCCTCGACCTCGCCGGTGGCGTCGTAGACGGTCTTGATGCGGACACCGTTCTCCGAGTCGGTGACGGTCGAGTCAATGAAGGTGACGTTCTTGACGGTGTTGTCGTCGCGGCCGCCGACGGAGCCGATGGAGAGACCGTGGCCGCCGGAGCAGGCACCGCCGGAGAAGTAGATGTTCTGCGGGGAGAGAAGGATTAAGATTAGCGATCTATGTGGATCGTTCGGGGTGTGTGGCGGCTTGAGATCTCTTTCCACCGCCATCTGTGGGAAACACATACCTCGCCGGAGTTGATGGCGACACAGTCGTCCTGGTTCTTGACGGTGGCACCGGTGATAGTGATGTAGGTACTCTCACTGATGTCGAAACCGTCGGTGTTGTGGCCGCCGTTGTCGTCACCGTCGCTGTTGTCGATGGTCACGTCCTCGATGGTGAGGTAGTCGGACTCGACGGAGATGGCCTGGACGGGGGTGTTCTTGATCTGCAGACCCTTGATGACCGAGTTGTCCAGGGAGTGGGCGTAGAAGAACTTGGGCTTGGTCTTGCCGCCGTTGGTGCCCTCGCCGTCCCACCACTTGGCACCGTTGCCGTCGAGGACCGCGCCGGAAGACTGGGTGACGGTGATGTCCTTGCCGGAGATGTACAGGAGGGGTCCATCCCACTCCTCGTACTCCCAGGTGGTGGTTCCCTCGAAGGTGACCTGGATTGGACATGGCCTTGTCAGTCTGCGGTTCAACGGGCAGTACACTGGAAGGTGTGCCGTCGAGAAATACTGGGGTCGGGGCCGGGACTTACGGTGGTACCGCTCTTCAGGTCCTTGAGGTTGAGGGTCTCACCAGCAGGAACAGTGATGTCCTTGAGAACGATGTCCGTGCAGGAAGTCTTGCTCTCGGAGGCCTGAGCAGCCGAGGTGAAGGTGCAGGTGGAGCGCTTGGCGAAGTCCGAGGCACGGGTGGCAGGGGCAGCAGACACCAGGGCAGTAGCCAGGGTGGCAGCGCACAGCAGGGAAGACTGGATGGAAGGCATGGTGAGAGGATTGTTATCTGATCAACAGAGTAAGTTCAAAGAGAGACTGTTCTGATCTACAGAACGGAGACAACGCGAGAGAGACAAAGAGAGGAATGAAGGAATGATTGGCTTGGATGAAGAAAAGAACCCCGACAGCAGGGCGACAAGACCCTTTTATGTGTTGCAAGAACGTCTTGGTGGATTCTGAAGTTGTCCATTTCGTCCCTGTTTCGTCCCTGACGGTTCCCTCAGTGCCACCAGGCGAGGCCTGAATGGGCAGGCATTGCCATCAATCTGTAACGGGCTATCCCCGACTCAGGGCGCTAAGGCGAGTGGGCCAAGGCGGCATTTTCTTAATTGAACTTGGCTTTTGACTCGTGGGGGCATCGGTCATCCCTATGCGTCAGCTTCATCAAACGCAGCCCCTCGTTTCGACTGCTTCTGACTTTGGAAGAAAACTGTGTTAGCCATTCATATTGTGACAGAAGAAAAGGAACGAAAAGGAAAGGAAAGGAGAGGAGAGGAAAACCACTGATCTTCACGGGTTCATGACGGGAGATAGATGGCTGTGATGATCCGGGAGCAACAAGCGAAGCAACGGAAACCGACCAGAGTTCTTCCCGTTCGACCCACCACAGTCGAAAACAATCAGGGGAAGGTTCTTTTCTTCTTCGAAGCTTTGGGCGAAGCAATCACGAAACATCCCAGTGGAAACTAGGCCGAAATAATACAACTCCCACACAATCCGTTCGTAACTCCGTACAGCGATGCTATACTGATGTCGGCAATCCAGACCCCCGAGAAAGAATGGCTCCGCCGATCCATGCCGCTTACGAGTGCCGATTCTCCACCGGTCGATATTATCAGGAGCAAGCAAATGGCGACAGCCATCTCTATCCCACTTCGCTCGGCAAACGTCAACAGGGAGCAATTTCCTCACGCCTTGAAAGGCACACATCAATGAGAGCTGTCATAAGGAGCACCATCCTGGCCCCTCGGAATTCATTTGCCTTCAGCCGCTGGAGAACTCCTGGCTGATTTCCGATACCCCCAGTCCAATGACAGATCATCTACAGCGCTTCCATGATGAAAGTTCAGCCGGGAATTAGACCCTGGAAATAATGCAGGGGAACAACGGTGGCTCTCGACCCATCCCGGCTTGCCGAACAGATCATACCTCAGAGAATCGGCGCTCGTCACGAGGCTCGCAATCAATATCAAATTGACAGTTTCGACTGGACGCGTAGGAGGATATAATACTGCTTCTTATGCATACCAACCAGCAAGTTGCCTATGTGCCTGCCGTGGTCCGTGGAGTATCCAGTCACCAACCAGTCCACTGCAAGAGGAATCAAACCAGCGGATAACACGGCTTCATCGGAGCAATTCAATCAATATCAAGAAGTTGTGGACCGGGTCCAGGGGGTATCAACTTGGTGCCCACTGCCCAGAGAAAGCTCCCTCCCATCCCTGACCCCACGCAAAGCTTGGAGATTGCTTGATTGTGCGCCGCCCCAATCAGGTCGGCTGGCTGGTCTCCCCACCGCTGAGCTTCTCTCAGAGATAATCCTCTCCACCGAAGAGAGGAGCGGTGTACACAGTACGTCACTAGGAATGATACAACCTCAGTTATACCTACTCAGTACAGAGAGTAACGCGATGCAAGGATTTATCCAAGCACGCCCGATGTGTCGACCACTTTCGGCATAACGTCGGTTTTTCTGAGAGTCACAAACGCATGCAAGGTAACCTGAAAATAGGAATATAGGTAAAACACGCCACAAGCTCCTCTAGGCTTGAAGAATCAAAACCGGGTAGGGGGTGAAGCAGTGGTAGCACAAACGGGTAGGGTATACGTACCACTTTCCCCACACGCCGCCCAAAACCAGCACTAGTATCTCCGAACATCGGGCCTACGCACCAGTCAGCACTCGGCATTAGGGGGTCTTACCCCCGACGCATTACTATTTCGGGCTGGTCGAGTTTCATGGTCCCTAAAGGGCGGGAGGAGAAATTCTAGATTTACCTACATGGGAGATCCTGAAAATCATTTAAGTACTACTTTACAACGGCAATTCCAGGATCCGGGGTGTATATACACCCTCCCTAGCCAGATACACTAGAACTCAGTGAAGTAAATCACTTGAAATTCGCTGGCCGCTCATAATTGTTCAGTAAGCAATTTTTGTTCGAGAAACGCATCTTACAAGACACTCTTCATGCTGAGGTATAGTTAGCTAGTTACTTTGGGTTACATTAGTAAAGCCCTCAATCACTAAGTCAACTGCTTCTGCTACCTCCCTTTCCCCTCAGTGATGTCTTTTCCTTCTCTTCTTTTTTTCCTCAAAGAAAAGGGTGATATGCTTCCGTTCTAGCAGACCAACCCTACATTCATTCCAAACATTTCACCGCTAGTGCAGCGACACCCAGAAGTCACTTTATCATTCCAAAAATTCAACCAGTATACAATCATCAACCATCCAACCCCGCCTCCATCTTCAAGCAGCACAAACATTCACATTCACCAACCTAACTCGACCTTCCAACCAGCTAACAATCAAGCAAATCCGAACCACTCCATATCCCTGCCCCCATGAATCGGCACCGTATGCCCGACCCCCGTGGCAAACACCCCCTGCACGCCCGGCCCCCACACCGTGGTCACATAGTTCGCCTCGGGGGTATTCGCCTCCGTCGTCTGGGGCGCATCGTAGTTATACCCCCAGACGCCGGCCCACTGCTTGACGGTCTCGTAGTAGTTCTGCGGGTAGAGGGTGGTGTCGACGCTGCCGTGGTAGATCTGCATGCGGGGGCGGGCACCCGTGTACCCGGGGTCCATGGCCTCGGCGATGCTGGCCCAGTGCGCCGGGGTGGTGATCGACTGGCCCAGGGCGCAGGTGCTGTTCCACGCGTCGGCTTGGTTGGTGGCGCTGTAGAAGCACCCCGCGGGCACGCCGTTGTAGACCGTCGCGGCGGCGAAGAGGTTCGGGTAGGTGGCTGCCATCACGTTCTGGGAGATTCATCAGCATTAGTTAGGGGCGTTCATATGGGATGATGGGATATGGACAACTCCGGGCATACCGTCATCATGGCGCCCGAACTCGAGCCCGTCACGAACACCTTGCTGGTATCCGCGTTGTACTTGGCGATCGTCCAGGTGACCATGTTGGCGATGGAGTTACTGTTGCCCCCGCCGTTGTGCGTGAGGGTCGCCTGCGAGCTCACGTCCCAGCAGGTGCCCGAGTACGGGCTCTGCGGGTAGATGACTATGAAGCCGTATTGCTCGGCCAGGGTCGCGTAGGGCGAGCCCGTGTAGTACGCGGAGGCCGTGCCGGTGCCTGTGCATGTGAAAGTTAGTTTGTTGGGGGGGTGGGGGGAAGGGTGAGAGAAGCACAGACAGTAATGGATGGCAACAATGATGCCCGGCTTGGTGGCCAGATTCGTCGGCACGTAAATGTACATGCCTACATTGGTCGGGTTGCTACCGAAGCTGGTGACCTGCTGCAGGGAGCCGGCTCGAGGGTAGACCGAGTCCCTATCCCCCAAAACGCCGGCCCGGCATGACAGTGCGCACAGCACGCAGGTGAGCAGAAGTGAGAGGGAAAGCATTGTTCAGGGAAGTTGGTTCCGATGCAAGGAGATGATGGAGAAGATGGGGATTGTTCTCTCCATCTCTGAAGGTGTATATATATATACGCCCTCCACGGCTAAATCCAGACCTTGCACACATCAACCTGAAATCGATCCGCGACATACTCCATTTCTGCCACTGTAGGCCAAGTCGATGGGAGGAGGCGGGGGATGTCTCCGGGAATTGAAACGGTCATGGGGTGTCTGGGATAGACAGCAGGTGAAGGCTCGAGATCGACATTACCGGGCTGGGCCCCGTCACGGAAGGCGTTAGAGTCAGACACGGGATCAATTGGCGTTTCAGGAACGCACCGTGAAGATGCAGAATAGCCGGGTTTCAGCCGAATTGGCAAAGTCTGAGGGAAGGATTATCCGGATACCCCCACCTCGTGCTGAGAGGTGTCAGGGTTGACATGTTGGCGGAGGGCTGAAGATTACAGGCTGCATTGCGGAAGTATACCCCAGAAATCGGCTTTACAGCCGGGGAGGGGGCATCCAAACAGGCTCAACTCGAGTGACCGCATCTATTGTTTCACTACTCGGCTACATTACATCAGAAGATGTTTCAATTTGGTCCTCTTAGATAACGTATGAAGTTCGATCAAATTAGCAAACTCATAGAAAAATACTGAGTGAATCATCCTCCGAATGACATACCGAACCAGCCACACCGAATACACAATCATAATCATACGATTATCACATTTAGAATCAAAGCAGAAACTTTTTCTAACAGATTTTGTCTAATCGAAAAACAACAGGCACGGCCACATACCAGTAAATGCAATGCAGACACAAATCGAAAAAGAAAAGAGTCGATACGACAACTAGCTCTCTCTTCTCGTATGACATAAGCAATCGACATCGTGGCTAGCCTGCAAGTTTCCCGCCCTGATAGAAACATCCGTAGCAAGGGAAGGACATCGTCAAAGCTCTCCGGGTATTGGAAAAATAAGAAAAAGGAAAAAAGAAAAAAAAAAAGCGTATGAATGCAGGAACAGAAAGAGAAAGGCCCTTCAAACCCTCCAGCGGAACCAACCAATCTCCCTAGATTCATTTCATGAGAACCCGTCTCCCCACCTCACTTCTTCCGGTGATGCTGGGTCCAGGGTTCATATCATCATCTGTACAAGGGAATGTCGACAAGCCCCCCACTCTACCTTTCAAACGGAAGTTAGATGAGCGACCGATCTTGCTGGCGAAAAGAAAAATCATGGACGAGAAGATTAGGATGAATGTTCATAACAAATCACAGACATGTCGTGACGATGTGTCAAAAGGGGAACAGTAAACGTAGAAATCTTTCCAGAAGAACGAAATCATTTTTGTATTGTCATTGCAAGGGAAATCTATGAGGCTTCCTCGCCGGCAGTAGAGGGAGTCTTGGAGGGTCGGCGCTCAACCGCGGGTTGCGACTTGGTCAGCAGAGGGGAGGTAGGGTTCGATGGCGGGGAGGTGGCCATGTTATC